AATATTTTTTTTGATATCATGTACTGTCTCCCGTGTTCTCTAACGCAACTATTGTTCACTAACTAACGCTCAAGGTGAAGCTCTTTATTGCTCGAGGTAAAACATCGGGTGCCTGCAAAAAGCCCTGCACGCCGTTGCCTACCAATAACCAAGTTACAAGTGTGCACCACTTGTTTAGGCTCTTATAACCGCACATGCACCGAGTAACAGCCGCCACCAAGCCACGCATACAGACATAGTCCGCGCAGCCACCACCAGGCCGGGTTTGACAGGCGTGGCGCAGGCCGAGTACGAACGATGAAAGGTACGCGCTTCTAACGTGAATGCAACAACCAGGTTTGTGGGTTAGTTCCTGGCGCTGGAGTGTTGATATGGTCTGTGACTAACTGTGGTACACTCTACAGACTGCAGCGCTTATGGAAATACCTAGTATCATTCAAAGACGCTACGTTAAGCCCATAAGATAGGCAAGCTTGGCTGATTCCGAAGGTTTATTGCAAGGCTAGCGTATACTTCGGTTTCCTCGTGTAAGCCTAGTTCAAACTGAAACATCCACTTTATACAGCGACCGAAATTCCCCCGCCGCCGAAACGCAGCGTCGTTCGCACTGGACGCACCCCGTGCCGCCGAATATGCCATCTACCACGGGGCGAACGCGGGATGAATGCACTGTCACCCGGTGGTGGTCGCGGTTCGCAAACGCCACTACGCTATCTGGTGGTGTATACTTCGATGATTCTCGTACGCAGGAATCAAGAAAAGACAGTGCTGCTTACTATGCTGGCAAGTTGCTGTCTTGTAATGCTTGAAGAGCAGAAAAAACCACCGACGCCAGCGGCGTTGGTGGGTTCGTCTTGCTCTGCAAGACCGCAACAAGCTCGGTCACGCCAACAGCAAGCTCAGTCACCTCTTCCACAAAATACGGACCCGAAGTAGGCACAGAGTAGGTTAAACTCCCGTTGGTTACAACATTCAGTTACGTGCACTGCGACACAAGTGAGTAGGGCTTGGCTGCCATTTTTCAAAATTCCTTGACTAGCGCTCCTATTGGTCCGCGGTGACCGATTCGGCGGTAGACGCCGCAAAAATCGGTCCGAGAGCGATCGGCGCGAAGAGGGTCCTTTCGGAGGATATCGCTGCCACCGAACCGGATTCGGTGCACTTTCGGCGGCCGGAATGCTCAGTGTGAACGCGGCCTTATTTGCGAAGCAGCTCTTTGACTAGCCTGTGTAACGCTGTACCTCCGTCTGCACCACGCTCCCCTGGCCGCAGGTGTTGTGGCGGTGCCAAGTAGGTCACGCCTTTCCTCGCCGTGCGCGCGCGTTGATGTCACTATCTCCCTAGCCTGTCGCCGCTCGCCACGTGTCTTCTTTCTCGATTCACCCTCTCCACCGCTCACAACGTTCCAGCGCACATCGAGAAAACAGTATTTCTGCGATGAAACTTACAGGAAACCCAACCCGCATGTCGTGTCTTTGCGTTTCAAACAAACGTTTCCTCGAGTAAACGCTACACTGAATTTCGCTTAAAACCGTTCTTCCGGCACCCGCGTCGACGCCTGTTTCAGCCGGGTCAACGCCGTGTGCACTGCTGCTGCTTCGCATGCCATCAAGGTTTCATTCGGGGAGACGGTCGATAATTTTATGCTTCTTTTTTTACATGCGTACGTGATAACGTAGGACATATATTGTTCTCTCCGGCCTCCTAAGTTAAAGCAATTCAACTTATGGACAGCCGAGGGCACTGTTCCCTTCGTTTCCGTACATCGCGGAGGAAATTTGTATTTTTGAGCGCATCCCATAAGCCCCCGTTTCTCCGTTGAGCACCGGCGTAAATGTCTCTACTTTTTTTGTCTCTGCTATTATTTTCGATACTCGTGCCCCGCCGTGGTGGTCTAGTATTTACGGCACTCGACTGCTAATCCCAAGGTCGCCGGATGAAACACCAGCTGCGATGACTGCTGTTTCGATGGAGGGGAAAATTCTGTCGGCGCGTCCGTTAAGATTTATGTGCACGTTATAGAAACCATGGAGGTGGAAACTTCCGGATCCCTCCTGTACGGCATCTGTTGTAATCATATGGTGGTTTTGAAACGTTGAGCGCCATACATTATTCTCATTTTTGGTACTCGCACTTGTAGAAAAAAATATTTTTAAGCACTTTCGCTTTACACAGGGGAAGAAAAAACTTTTACTTTGTCCAGAAAAGCCTAATAATAATCATTTTGGATGTTCATTGTCACTAAACCATGATATCATTGTGAGAGATACCATAGTGGAAGGCTCCAGAAATTTCAACCACCTGGGGTTCAAAATCGAAGTACACGGGCCTGCAGCGTTTTCACCTCCATCTAAAATGTGTCCGCTACGGCCGGGATTCAATACCGCGACCTGCGAGTCAGCAGCCAAGCACCAGAGACCACCGTAGTGGATTTAAAAAGCTTGTAAGCACCAGTTGTGTAGGTAATAGTTATGAATGAGGTACACACGTATATTAGCAATATGTTCAAACTTCTAGAAAAAATTTAAAATCTAGAATTCTTATTCCTTTTACTCGCTTTTGAACACTTTTAACACAAATAGAAGATTTTCGTACTCACACACACTACATTTGAAACATGTTGGTTTTTGTCCCCTTACAAAAGCTCCTCTACATGCGTTTGGCTAAAAGCAAGAATTTTGCTGAAATCTGTGCGACCTGTTTAGATCAGCTTGGCACGTACTTGATGTTTACTGTAAGCCATTTTGAAAAAAAAATACAATTGCCAAGTTTTTTTTTTTTTGACCCAGTATGAGCGAGATGCTGCGTCGGAGAGATGAAAGGCTTCATCCGTGTTCGAAAACTTGTCGGCTGTTTCTAAGAGCACGCTGCCACCTACGCATCCTGCGTTTCCATATTCATCAGTGGTACGCTCCACAGAAGGTAGCAACGCTGTTGCTGCAGCATAAAAAAAGAACAAAAATAAAAGCAGAAAATGTGAGACATGCGAAAGTCAGTGCCGTTGAATCGACATGCTGTGCACCCCGTGGGTGAAGCCATGAGTGAGCATGCAAGTATCAAACGCGCACTAACGCATTCTAGAAAGAATGATAAAAATTTAAAAAAAAAGCCGACGAGAGATGAATGAGAAGGAGAAATCCACTTTTCGTTTTCGATCTCGTCTCCTCGCTTAGAAACCCAATTTTATCGTTCAACCCAGCAAAAGACAAACAGCGGGTGGGAGGGCGGAATCTCTTTCAAAACGTAGACACTCAACTTCAGTCGTATACCACACATGTGGTTAAAACGACGCTACCCAGGTGTAAATAAAGCATTGTGCAGTGTAGCAATGTTTCTTTCAGGTGTCACAATCTGTGCATTAGCGCTGCAAATTTTTATAGCTGCGGCTGCGCCAAGTTCTCGTCTCGGAGTTAAAAAAAAAACTCAGAAATCCAGAACACATGTTGCCTTGTGTGTTACGTGCCACGTACCGATTGGGTCAGTTTTTGCAGCTCAGCGCACAGTCCGAATCGAATTTTGACGAGGCCCCCGCTCGGTGGGGCAATCTGTGGTAGATTAAAGAAAAAACACTTCAATGAACTAAAAATTCAAAGGCTGAAATGAACTCTCGCTGTTGCAGTGAAGCTGCGAATGCGACCACAACAGCACGCTAGCCCAGCCTCATTTTCTTCGGACATCAAATAATTGCGTAATGTACTACGTGGCATCTGAACGCCGGCAAATGATAAAAGCAGTGGCACCAAAAATCTCTCATGGCCGTGGTATTTCCCATCGTATTTTGCGTTCTTCTCCTAGAAATGTCGATGTTTTGCAACGCTCATGCTTGCGGTGGCACGAGTGTTGCGTAGTTGAGAAACGGAGCTTGTATTGCCTGCGTCATTCTTTTCGCATTTACCTTTAGGTGTTGTATACGAGTAAAGCTGTGATGGTTAATTGAAAATCTCACAGAAAAGTCAAAAGGAGCACGTTGCGAACCCCGCCACGAAGAGGCTTCAAAAGACGCCGAATCAGTCGCAATTATTGAACAGTCAAGACGACATCTGCAAAAGGCGTGCTTCGTTTGAAGTTCTCTAAGCAAGTTGATCGCAAAACTAGCTTCCTTTCTCGAAATAAAGGTTCACGATAGCTCAAGCTCGGTAATCCAAAAATTGATCTAATAACAGAACTTCCAATGCTCTCTGTTGCGCGCTTGACGACGAAGTGATCAGCGCCGAACCGTAACTGACTTCCCCTTTTTCCTAACATTATGCATCATTCATAGAAAGAGGCAGGCTGTGTAATCTCAGGAGAAACTCAATTAGCAGTATTCCGTTTTGTCTTTCGATAGTCACCTTTTCCTTTTGTTTTGTTTTTCCTGTGCCATATCAATCCTGAGAGAGAGAAAAACAACTATTATATTTTGCCCCCCCCCCCCCCCCGGTATGAGTTACTGTCTAAAGGTGTTGCGGCAACAGTGTGAGGCTGCAGGCAACGGGGCTTAAGGTGTAGCAAGAAAAGTTACCCCACGAAGTACATGACGGGACAAAATTTTCGATTCGTGTTATTTTATTTTTTTACCAACGCACTCACTTTTTAATCTCTTGTTTCCGTATGCGCACTGGAAGTTCAAGTTCATTATTTTTATCGTGACACCTATACGTATGAACCAAAAGCATACTATTTCGCAGAGTGTCTTTACAGTGTATGGCCTCTGAGAAAAATAAAAATGAACATGATGAACTACTCTGAAGTCTGTCGACGTCATTCGCAACATCGAATTTCCCTGCTTTTAATAAAGCATTCGCCTGTAGCCACTACGTTATTGCAAAGCGCCATTTCTTATACGCCAGGCCACCCAACTACTCGAAATGGTACAGTCGGCTGCCTTTTCGCAGAAGGCATGGTTGTTGTCACACAATATGCGTGCCTGTGTGGCACGCTTTAGTTCTCTGGAGACGTTACGAAATTAGACATATTTTGCGAGGCTGCGCGGTGGTGAGCTCTCTCTGCTTGTATTTCAGGTCCCCCAAAATTCGACGTCAAGTTTCGAGCACATGCCGTCAAGAGAGGTGAGAAGGCCCGACTGCAGTGCACGGCCATCGGAGACCTGCCCATCGCGATAACCTGGTCGAAGAACAACGACAGGGTTCCGGAAAAAACCAAGTACAAGTACGTCGCGCTTGCCCCTTTCTATTATATTGTGATTCCAACATCTATTTCCAAACTCCGGTATGTGGCAGTAACCGAAAACTCGCATCCAGTTATCTCCACTCTATCTTTCTCTGTGTTTTTCCGTGCCCGAAGTGTGCGCACACATAGCTCACACGTAACGGCAGCGAAGCCGTCCTGTGTGCTGTATCGAAAAAAAATGTATTCTTCACGCATGAAATTATAAGTTTGGGTTATCGGTTTCTCATCCAAAAAGAATCAATTCCTGCTTAACGTACGTGACATCTCTTTCGTATTTTTTACTGAGTAGATCTCGCATTTAGGTGTATTTAGGTGATCTCGCATTAAGGTATAGGAATAGTTCGATTGAATCAATGCTACATGTCCTCGTAACGACACACTTACGAAGTAATCGAACAAACGGTGAACCGTACTATGCATTTCGGTGTGTTTGGTTTTTAGGGGCAAAGCTCCTTATGGTCTAGCACAGTCCATTCTTCCTGCGAACCCAGCACAGCATATCCACAGACAGACAGACAGACAGACAGACAGACAGACAGACAGACAGACAGACAGACAGACAGACGGACGGACGGACGGACAGACGGACGGACGGACGGACGGACGGACAGACGGACGGACGGACGGACAGACAGACAGACAGACAGACAGACAGACAGACAGACAGACAGATAGACAGATAGATAGATAGATAGATAGATAGATAGATAGATAGATAGATAGATAGATAGATAGATAGATAGATAGATAGGATAGATAGATAGATAGATAGATAGATAGATAGATAGATAGATAGATAGATAGATAGATAGATAGATAGATAGATAGATAGACGAACACGGAAGGACAGACGACTGCTTCACCCCAGTCATCTTAATTCACTCCGCGGATATGCCATTATTTTTATTGTTATTTTTCACGTGCCTATTACTTGCCAATCTAATTTTGAATATATTGTGGGCTTTTTAGACTCTTGTCTAACCTTGTCGCTCGATTCATCTAGATGAGCAAGGCGAAACAGTTTCCGGCGTTCCCTGTTATTCCGTCTCTCTTCTCTCTCTAAAATTCGTCTAATAGCGCACCGATGAAGGACGACAAGTAAATGCTAAAAATCAAACTAGTCATGTTTTCCTTCTCATAGTGCATATATGCATTTTTTCATGGTTTTCAAATTGACCGAAGGGCCGCATTCACCATGGCTGACTTAACGGCAATCTGCTTTAGTGCTAAGTGACTCCGCTTGCACTTCTCTTGTTCGGCGGTTACGGAATTAGACGAACTTTATAGAGAGGAGAATAGGGCAGAAGGCTAGGAAGTATTTCGTTAGCTATCCTACATGAACCGTGTGATAAATTTATACAAAAATTTGTGAGCCGGTCAAGTTAATTCGACCTGTCCTTGCATGCAAACACAGAGAAAAATCGCAGAGAGAAACCAAAGATATGCGTTTGAGGGGTAAAAATTGATTAGTTCGAGCCTCGAAAACGTGATGCTGCGTTAATTCTATTCCAACAATTTTTTTTTCATTTCATTCGTTTTATCAGTGCGGAAAAGTAAAAGAAACGTGCACGCTGTATCTAAAGACGAAGCGAGCTTACAGTTCCTGGAAAACAAAAAGAAGGCTTCTTTTTTTTTTACGAAGCACGTCGGACACTGCCAACCTATTAGTTCAGATCAAGCCACGTAGCAATGTGCTGGCACAAGTCACAAGCAAAAGCACGGTGTGCCTAATATAACGTCCGTATGTGCCAGGTAGAAGCCGTATAAACAGCGCGTCGAAGTATTTCCTACTCCCGCAAGAAGAATGTAGATGCCACAGGTACAAGTGCTTGCTCTATCGACGCGCCATCTGTGCAGCGTGGGACCGGCCGTTCTGTCTCCTAAATCTATACACGAGCAACTCTCCATTCACCCCTGGGAACCAGCTGCGTCGATATGGCGGCATTGCAATGACGGAAGGAAAGGGAGAAGATGGCGACACCCGCTAGGTTTGTAGCCCGCCTGATTGATTCGCGATCGAAGGAGTCCTGCTTGAATCCCAGCGCACGGAAAGTCTGTTTTTCCTTATCCTCTCCGTCGGTCGTGGGCCACATTTGCCTGCAGGTCGTGAGTGTCAGACGGGATAGAGACTCAGAATAGCGACAAGCTCAACATAACGGAAAATGTCGCATCGAATATCTTCACGGTGCTTTCAGCACGTGCTTATATCTTAAACGATTCTAGAAAGTGCTTAAATGATTTTAGAAAGTGAGCACTGTGTCGAAACATGCTATTTTGCCGTAGCTGATGCGGGCACGTAGCTGCTCTAGATTTGGGTTAGCATCGCCCTAACTACAAGGAGGGGGGGGGGGGAGAGACGCTGTGATATTATTAACGAATTGTGAGCATGTTGTGTTGCCATATCGGGTGTGTTCTAACTGTAGACGTATCTACGAGTATTACACGATCACGTTACTTTCCACGTGAACGGAAGGGAGTCACGGGAAGAGAAGGGGGTCTTTTTTACACCAGCACTGCTGGCCGCGCCAGACTTGCTTTCGTGTAGGACCAATAGTTACAAGTAACTCAGTTTACAACCTTAAATAGGGTTTATTATGCTTATAAGTGACACCCTTACACCTAAGTAAAACGGTATTTTTATGGATCAACCCACCCACACCATCATATATTGCCAATGCGTCACACCCTTATCATGAGGTGTTGTGAATAGCCTAAACATTCGTATCACAGAATAACCGCGAAAATACAGTCTACCAGTCAGGGAATATGTAATTACAGATGACAACAGCATAGAAGGCGTACGTAAGCGCCCAGCGATATACCAAACATACCACATTGCAAAATACCTCATGGACGAAGTGCTCACGCTGCATAGCCCAATGGCATAACATGCGCCCTTATCATTGGATGTTGTCGATGGCCCAAACACCCTTATCATTCAAAAATCATAAGAATACGATTCAAAGAACATGCGATTACATGTGACGTCAATGGGTTTTTTTTTCTTTATTCACTACTGTAGGAAGTCTGGATTTGGTCTCTGACTATGAAACCCCTTTCTTTATACCCAAGTCTTATATTATTTGATCTCTGAGTGGTTGTAGCGAGAACGCCTTTCCTGAGTGTTTAGTGTTTTTGCCTGAGTACACATGCATTTTCCTTCTTTTTTTTTCACCCTCAACACCCTCTTTCTTGCGCCTATTTCCCCATCCTCAGTGCTGGGTAGCATATAGGATGCCAATATCTGGTTAAAAACCCCACCTTCTTTTTCTTCTCTCTCTTGTCGTTTATTTGATGACTAAATAAAACTCGCTCTACTCAGCCTTGCAGCGAATATTTGGTATATATGGTGTCTTAAGCCACCGTGAAGCGCGCCAGTGGAGACATTCCTGTTCCGTGTAAATAAACTTCAAATATTAATAGAATAATCGTAAACTTATGGTTTTCTTGTAGATAGCCCTAGGAGGAACAGGTTGTTTAATCTAAACTTTCCTAACACTCAACAACTTCACCACACAGGTGTTTCGATAACCCATAACACCCTTAGTTTTTGAATGGTGTTAAAGTAAATAAAAAACATAACCCCTTAAAGGGTATTTGGGGAAGGAAAACACCTGCTGTTCAAAGAGACATTCTTATCAACGAGGGTGCCCGCAATTTTCTACAATCTGGGGTGGGAGCAAGTTTGAACTTAACCCCCTTCTCCTTTCGTCGGTCGCACAAGTTCCGCAATGAATAGAAAACATTAAATTGATGCAATCGCTTCTCACAAAGGCCGACTATTGGTTTTTAGCTGTCTGGGTTAAAGGTTGGCAGTAAACAGTTCTTTGAATGCAACATCACTGGTCCTTGGTAGTCGCCAATAAACCGTGCGTATTCATATTTCGGTGCATTAAAAACGATGAAAAAGGTCCAACTGAGTGAAGATAAGTGGCAGAATTGGCGCCCCCCTTATGATTTTTAAATGGGCGACCACACCTTGCCTCTCGCCTTCCCCTCATCTTCCGACGCACACATATGGTCATAAATATACCTTAACAAAGTAGAACATCTCTATAGTTGGTATTTTACAGTCCAATTCTTTTAGCATGCAGAGAAGAAACAGATAAGTAGACACACGGAACACAAAATAACGCTCTAACAACATTGCCGATCTTCTTAATTTGTTTTGATCATATAAAAATGGCTGGCATATTTATAGGCGTTTTTGATAGGTGTTCCTATACCTAACACCTTGATGCATGTGCAATATATCTGCACACGAAATTTTGTGCTGTCATATTGCGCGAGACGTGTTGGGAATAGACGTAAAGACAGATGTATACCCTTTCACATTTTGTCCCTGTTCTAATACCATTATGGAAAGAATGAGAATGCTTATCACGAAGTTCACGTAGACTGCCCCAGATGACATAAAATTATTTTAAATATACATTTATAAAATTATCTAAAATATACACTTATTCCTAATGTCAAAAATGATCGTGAGAACCAAGCCATCTTACTTTCATGGGTTTGGCGCCAAAGCTGAGTGTACATATGGTGTCCAAGTCATCTTGCTGATTGATATGCGGGGTTTAACGTCCAAAAAACACCTTCTGATTATGCGAGACGCTATAGTGGAGGGCTCCGGAAATTTCGACCACCTGGGGTTCTTTAACGTGCACCCAAATCTGAGCACACGGGCCCACAGCATTTTCGCCTCCATCAAAAATGCAGCCGCTGCTGCCGGGATTCGATCCCGCGACCTGCGGGTCAGAAGCCGAGTACCTTAGCCACTGGACCGCCGCGGTGGGGCTCTGATGAATACACTAATAATATCTGGGGTTGTACGTTGAGCACGCTGCGAGGTCTCGCGTACCGTGATCTAAACGGCAGTTTCATGTTTCAGGGAAACTGCCAGTGTGCAGTTTTTTTTTGTTTTTTATAGCTTCATCATAAGCTTGTGATATTCCGCGGCAGCTCTTAGGAGATGAATCACTTTTTGAAGCTGACCCCGTTTTCACCTGTAGATGAAAACGGCATTCAGAGAAAGTGAC